CTATGCTGGCTGCTACTCATGTTGATTTCTTGTAGGTGCTTAGAACGTTTCCTAGCAGCTCTTGATCTTTTCTACTAGCCTTCCATGAAATGAGTGTAGTGTGTCTCATCCCATTCTTCAGACAGGCAGACAGAAGGAGCCTGAAAAAGATTGTGTCTATTTGTGGGTGCAGTAACTGCTGGAGTGCAACTGTGCTTGTGTTTTGTCCTGTAGTACCTACTTCTGTTCTAACATACAGTGCCTAAACAGCCCTCTGCGCTTTGCTTTTCTAATAGCTTCTTTGCTCTACATCCTTGATAGCTCTTGTCTCTGAGTCCCTAAAGCTAAAAGAATGTTTTCTTCAAATTTCTTGGAACCAGACTCTTGGTTTGGAGATGTGGTTGGAGTTCTTTTCAGCTGTGATTCTGCTAAGGTGACTTGAAAGAAATCAGGATGTAGACGTTAAGAAATGTTGATAGTTTGCATAGTAAAAGACAAGCAAGGAGTTTTCCTCAAGTTTTTCTGTACAGTGTGTTTGTGTATATATATATATATATATCTGTTAAATATATGTATGTGTATATTTATCTATTAAAGTGTATCAGTTGCTTCTAGGCTTTTCAGCAGCTTCTAGCATAAATGAGGGGTTTGGGATGGGACATTTGGAAAGCTGGAGGTCTTGTGGGGTAATGTCTTGTATGTAGTACATTGTTAGCATACAAGTGGCCCTGCCTTGGCAGGGGGATTGGAGATCATCTAATTGCCAGAGGTCCCTTTCAACCCTAGTAATTCTGTGAGTCTGTGAATTATTGTTTAGTTATTACTGGCAGCAGTGATTTATATCATTCTGAGAGTGGCAGATGCTCAGAGAAGGTGACTGTGCTGCCATTTACCTTGCAACAGCATTGTCTCCATCATTATATCTGAAGGTTGTTCATAGCAAATGTGGGAAAGTACTTGACTGGCAGGAGAAGAAAACTGCTTATAAAAATGTATGCAGTTAGTGCCAAAACAACAGCTGATTGGAAATGTCATTGTGGCTTTGCCAGAGAAGCTACCAGAGCTCCATGCCAAATTTTACCAAAAAGGAAGGATGATCTCCAGTTCAAACCTAGAGTCCGATAGCTAGAAGCAGTTGTATAACAAAGATAACACAGTGATGGCAAATAAAGGAAATGCAATTTCAGCTAAGCTTGCTAATAAGGGAAGATGGCATGGTATACTTGCATTTCTGAATGATAAGTGCATTCAGGTTGCCTTGCTCTGCTGGGCAGAGTAGGCATTATTTCCTTACGCTGGCAAACTAGCCATCCTGCTGGAGTGCAAGGGAAACAGCAGTTTGAATACTGTTATAGAAAAATTAAATAAAAGGTAGTTGTACTTTATAAATCTGTGCTTAGCATCAGAAGTAAAAACTTTATGTTAAATTTTAGGAGCAGAGATCTCCCGAAATTCTGTATCATTTATGCACATGGGTATACAGTGAAATATTGATGCCTGCACCCCTGGATGCGAGTAGTCCTAAAGCAGAATGGACAGGGCAGGATAGTAGTTCGAATGTAAAATTCTAGAGTTACTTGCTTTCCTTAGGAAGGCTTCCTGAGCTTTAAGAAAACTTAGTTTGGACATGTTCATTCTTTCAGGGAGTCTATGCACTTCATGCCTGTTTAATTGTGAATTGTACAGCACTAGTGAAGTGACTCCTGTTTTAATCAGCACACAGCAGGGGCTTTTCTGCTTATATGCAAGCTCATTATTTCAAGAAAACATTTTACTATTTTTTAGAATAGTTTGCATCACTTTATGTAAATTTGTTTTATGTTGTTTTGCATTATTCTAGCGTTAAGCTTTTTTTTTTTTTTTTTGGGTCTTAAGAGATATTTTCCCTCCCAGATTTAGTTATCTCTTTTAAATATTTTGCCTGCAGCATTTGGTAAGCAGTGAATCTTTAAGTGAATGCATCAAATTGCCAGATGAATAGAGGGCTAATACCCAGTGATTTTGACCCTGTTTAGTTTTCCCAGTTGGGTGACAGATATATGTGTCCTTGTAGTAACAGAATCATAGAACAGTATAGGTTGGGACTTACATACTTCATTATAAATATGAAAGTGTGTTTGTCTGCATAAATGTATTTTAGAATCACATCCTTTATGCATCTATTTAAGAACACATAGATTTCATATTCTTAACTGTGGCTGATGATAATCTCTTCAAGCAGCTCCCATAACTCATCTTACGGTGGCAGACAGTTCTGCATCAAATCCCAGTGCATTTAGAGAGCAGGAAATTTTAATAAGGGCGCTGTAGGTTTATCCATACCATCAGCGGACAATTTGAAAACCCTGAAGTATCTATGCTCAATATCCAGTTAAGGGTGGTAGTGATATTTTGTGCAAGGAAAGTAAAAAAGCTTTGTGAAGTTGATTTTCATAATTGACTAACCCTGTCAATGTCAGGGGTCCATGAGGTTGCTTGTTTTCAGAAGTCCTGGAAGGAATATCAATAAAATACTGGATGAGTTGCACAGCAGGTCATTGTAGATGTTCTGACAAGAATGATGTTTACAAAAGTCGATGGCAAATTGACTTCTGATTTAAATAGGCATTGGTAGCTGGAGAGATAAAGCATCAACATAAGCATTCATGTACATTCTGGCTACAATCAGAAAAATGGCCTATGGGTGATCATCTGGCTAAACAAAGGACAGACACAAAAACCTCTGCGGCAAATTTTGTTTTCATACATCATGATAAAAATTCAGATTTTTTTTTCCATATGTTGAATAGATACCTATGACTCTCCATTTTTTTTTCCCTTTACCTAGATATCAGATGCATACTTTGATGAAGTGTCAGATAATCGTTTGATGATGCTATATCTAGAATATAAATACGGAAATATGTGAAGAACCTTACAAGTAACCGAGTTGTCTAGTTCTAATTTCTAAGAACTATTTCCTGTCAGTATAATTGATGAACAAAAATACTACTGTAAGAAGTCACTCAAATTATATTGATTGTAACTGTCATTTGTCAAAGTTGATGCTAAGGACTTGGATAAATTTGGTCGTGAAATGAAAAGAAAATCAAGAATGCAGTAAATAAAACTACAGAAATTAATTTTTTCACCATTATTTTAAAAACAAGCAGGTGTGGCATGAATCATTCAATGAATTACCCCCCAAAGCCTCCTGTTTTGACTTTGGCTCTAAAAACCAGCTTTGCAGACCTTGCTATGCCTCACTTTTCTGAAGAAGTAGAAATGAGAAGTAAAATTCCATTTTAAAAAGATTTCTGTAAGTCCCTGCTCATGCATGGTCAACAGAAATGCCCTGCAGTCTTGCAGGACTCACTTGAAGGCTTGTACTCTGCTAACCTCTGGGTAGCATGCAGCAGTGCTGAAGGGTATTCTTGAAAAAGGCTGTGGAGAGTGTACATGCTAATTTAGCCAAATGGATGGATATGTTAGAGCAGATTGTTAGTGAAGCTTGGAGCAAGTGAAAAACGTAAGGAAGAAAATAGCTGGTTGCTGTCAGAGGCTGAGGAATACAGCCTAATTGTCTTTTACAGAAATCCATCTGCTTTAAAAATGTTTGCTCATTCTGAGTAGGGTTGGGGCAGAGAAGAATCCCAGAGGGTATGGAGAATGAAAACTTAATTGGATCAGTCAGTTAAAACTAAGGCACTTGAAGTAAGCAAGGGATCATCTAGGATGTGCTGAGGAAAGTCAGACCTTGAAGACTCAGTTAATTTGACACATATTATAGGAAAATAACTCTCATTTTTAAGAGCTGAGCCTCAGAGATGTATTGATCGTTTCAGATGGGAATATATACAATGTAATGCAGAAAACCTGTCTGTTTTTTTTTCTTGTGAATTAAAAAAGCCCTGCAGAAAGGGTATCGATTAATTTCCTTCCTATAACACCAGCACAGTCTCTCTCATTCGCATAATTTCATTGTTCTAGGAGTACTTGGTTAATTTGTGTCCCATGGTAATATGAGACCAGATACTCTGAGGCTACGTAGGTTTAACGTGTGTCTTTTACTGGTAGCTTTCTACTAGCTGGTTCTTCTGTACTCATTCTGTAGCTGTGTAATTATGCTCAAAAGTTTCAGGGGGAGTGTGTGTGATTTTTTTTTTTTTTTGAACTAGTACATGTATTTAATGCTGTATTAGCAGCTGTAGAAATTGAATTGATAATGCAGCAGGGGATCACAGGAAACTAGCTAGATTGATTTCTCATGGGTTGCAAAGCTGGGTGAAATCCTGTACTGCTGTAATTCTCGATTACTTACTGACAGTAGGGAAGGATTCATGGAAGAGACCTCATTTGGCTTAATGGTGGAACAGAGTAAGTTTGCTACCTTTGCTGGTACTGTTAAACTGCGAGGAACTGCTGGCATGGTGGGAGTACTGGGTTATCATTAACAACATCCTTGGCATCCTGGACTGCAAAAAGACTGAAACAATCAAGTCCTTTAGCACAAAGAAGACAAAAGACTTCAAATACTTAGAAAATAAAAGGACCGGGATACTTTATTTCAGCTGCCTATCAGAACAGATGTAATAGGTTCACGATGCAACAAGTTGTACAGTATAGAACAAAGTCTTCAAAGGTAAAGGATAATTAAATATGGTAATAGGAAGCATAGGGTAGTTGCTTCATTGTTTAATCATCATAAGTCTTTAAGAACAGGTAAGCCAAATACTTGAAATTGATGAAAACATATTTACATCTACGTTGCAGGTATGCTAGACAACCTCAGTAAGTCTCTTTTGGGCTTGTTGTTTGGGTTTTATTTGTTTGCAGTTTTACAATGCAAAGAAGAAACATTTAAAAAAACCTGTCCACAGGTCAGAAATGTTCTCAGCCCACCCAAGTTGATATCTCTTCATTCTTTGCCCATTCAATTCTTAACAAATAAAAGATGAAAGAAAGTACCCCTTTGTAACTTACTTAAGTGTTTTTCATGAAGGCAGTATAAATACTGAAAGTCAGTTGTGTTTTCTTTGTAGGTTACGGGATGACAGAATCAGGATAGAAAGGATGGAAAATCTCCATTTTGAATACAGCCATGCTTTCCAGCTCATCACTGATTTTTACACAAAAGAAGTGCCTGCTACTACAGGTATGTCGTTCAGAATGTCTTTGAAGCTGTGTTAGCTTTTGCATAAAAAAAGGAATGCCTATGAGTGCATCCCATCAGGTCTTATGGACTTGTCTATGTCCAACTTGTTTAAGTATTCCCTAACTTGATCCTCCTCTCTTAAGGAGGTTATCTTCATTGCTCCAGAATTTCCCACTGGTCTGAGAGGCCTTGGATTCCTCAAGGCACATCTTGCCAGTAAAGATCAGGAAGGCACTGAGTTCCTCAGCCTCTTCCAACAGATCTGCTGCCCCACCCAGCAGTTGTCCCACATTGTCTCGTCTTACTTTTGCTGCTGATGTACTTGTAGAAGCTCTTGTTGACCTTCATATACCTTGCCAGTCTCCACTGCCGGTGGGCTTTAGTTTTCCTAGACCCATCCTGCAAGCTTGAACAGTGTCTCTATATTCTTCCTGGGTTACCTGTCCCTGCTTCCATCTCTCATCCCCTTTTTAACACTTGAATTGATCAGGAGCATCTTCTTAGTCCATGCAGGTCTTCTGTCACCTTTACTTAATTTTCTGCACATTGGGATCTTTTTTGAGCTTGGAGGAAGTGAATCTTGAAAGTGAACATTATTTAAATAGGAATAAATACAGGGCTAGCATCTTTTCTTTTTCATAGTTTGAAGATCATAGAATCATAGTATAGTTAGGGTTGGAAAGGACCTTAAGATCATCTAGTTCCAACCCCCCTGCCATGAGCAGGGACACCACACACTAAACTATGTCGCCCAAGGCTCTGTCCAGCCTGGCCTTGAACACCTCCAGGGTTGGAGCATTCACAACTTCCTTGGGCAACCTATTCCAGTGCCTCACCACCCTCACTGTGAAGAACTTCTTCCTTATATCTAATCTAAACTTCCCCTGTTTAAGTTTAAACCCATTACCCCTCATCCTGCCACTGCAGTCCCTAACAAAGAGTCCCTCCCCAGCATCCTTGTAGTCCCCCTTCAGATATTGGAAGGCTGTGTTTAGGCAGATCTGAGTTCACACATACATCCTAGCAACTGCAGGAAATTGTCTAAAATGTTTCCTCAAGTTCCTGTGTGTGTTAATGCTCTAAGAACAGAAGAACACCTTTAAAAAACATCTGTGAAAAAATTTAATAGGGTTCTAAAAAATACCATTTTATGTTGAAATATCATTGAGTGAATATTCCTGTTGTTGCAGCTGGAGCAGGGGTTGTAACAGAGCACTGTTTAGAAATACTATCAAATACAAAAGTTGTCTCACAAAGATGGGACCATATTCTGCAGACTGGTGAGGCAGATAAATCATCATCATTTGTACCAAAGCCTATTCATGCCTTCTTAACTTGGATGGATGTCGGCAGCAGTAGAGGAGATACCAGAATTTAGATCTCTGTTTATATGTTTATAAATTTCTTGTGACAAGTTATTAATTTTTTATAAAGAAAAAACTGTGGAGTCAAGTGTTTCATGATGTGCTTACATTATTGTAATGTTCTGTATTCTTTGGAACTGTGTTTTTTTGGAACCTGACTTTATGTTGATTTATAGATATCATAGCACAGTGAACATATATTACAGATTTCTATCTGATTAAATTGAAAAATAGATTATGATTTTTCTAAAATACATAACTAGTAAACAGTCAGTTAACAAGAAAATAACTTTTTTTCTTAGGTCCTCAAAAACTATCTGTAATACTAAGCTTGGATAAGCCTGTTATTTGCTCTCTGGCAGCAGTAGTTACATACCTCAAAGAATTTAATTTGGAAAAGATGCTTTACAATCCAAGGTAAGTTGCCTTACAGTAACTTTCAGTTCAAAGCACCAAACCACATACCAGTGTTACCGTTTAAGTTTTAGCAGACAACTTCTCTGATTGTAATGAACCCACCTACTAAGAGTTACAAACACATTCCTTGTAAAAATTGTTCCACACATTTCAGCTCCTAATCAGAACTAAAAGAATCAAGTGATTTATTTTTTTTTAAGTGGTGTTTCATTAAAATCTTTACCATCTAATCACAGGTCTGAGTTGGAAGGTTTGGGTTTGGAAGGGCCCTTAAAGCTCATCCAGTTCCAACCCCCTGCCACAGGCAGGGGAAGCTTCAACTCCAAGCCCCTGTGTCCAACCTGGCCTTGAACACTGCCAGGGATGGGGCAGCCACAGCTTCTCTGGGCAACCTGTGCCAGGGCCTCAGCACCCTCACAGGGAAGAACTTCTGCCTAAGAGCTCATTTCAGTCTCCCCTCTGTCAGGTTAAAGCCATTCCCCCTTGTCAAAAGTCCCTACAGGCCCTTGTCCAAAGCCCCTCTCCAGGTTTCTTGTAGCCCCTTTAAGCACTGGAGCTGCTCTAAGGTCTCCCCTTAAGGAGCCTTCTCTTCTCCAGGCTGAACCAGCCCAGCTGTCTCAGTCAGTCTCCAGAGCAGAGCTGCTCCAGCCGTCAGAGCTGCTCCGTGGCCTCCTGGTCTAGACATTACTGTCAGTAATGTAAGTGAACAGGTACTGCTGCCAAGTTTCACTGAAAGCAAAATATGATAGATATTAGGGGGGGGATTTTAAACTATGTCAATCAGTGTCAGCCATTGGATGTCAACCGTAGTTTTATTTTGGAAACAAAATTTGGGTTTTTTTTGAAATCTTAAACAAGAAAATTAATGCTTTGCATTAATTTAGCTTTGCAGATGTTTCATTATGCCATAGGTGTGTAATTTTTTCTTTGCATAGTTGTGGAAGCAGGTATAAATGCTAATGTGTTGTAATGTTTAGGCAGTGCTTGGCACGTCTGTTTGAGTTGGTGAATCTAGTTATCAATTATAAAGGAAACAGATGTTCAACACATCCTGGCTGTCGGGAAGATCCCTTGTGTTGGCTTAGTGGTAACTAGGAGTAGGGAAAACAATCATGAAAGAAATTGTTGGTAAACTGTCAGTATTTCTGCAAAGTTAGTGCCAGACCACACAGACATGGAAATAGTCTTGGTTTTCCCTATGAATTCCCAACACTCAGGTTTATGAGATAGACTCAAACAAGTATTCAAAATCTGTAACAGGATTATGCAAGTGGAGTGAAATAAGAACGGAAAGATACTGCCACTAAAGCATCTTTTTATCCTGTCTTGCATAAGTATGAAAAAGTGCTATCCTACCTGACTTAAGTTTGGAAATATCATTGAGGCTTATTAAATGCTTTATTAAACCAGCTTTAGCTGTCATGGTTCCTGTGCAAAATATTCTTCTGGTTGTCTCACTATTCCTCTGTCCTATAACTAGGTAGGATTAACAAAGTAAGTCTGGTGGCAAACTGAAACTTTTGAAATGTATCATGTCAGTCATATATAATTCACATTTTGCATGAGATTCTTCAAGTTTCAAGCCTTGATTTTGGAGGGGTTCCTATGTTACCAGGTTTTTTTAAATGCAGCTGCTTTTAAAAATTGACTGCAGATGTCAGCTTTAAAAGTTTTCCAGGCATTTACTAAAATATTTGGAAATATAACTGGGTTTTCTGGATTTTAAAATGGATTTTGTTCTGTAAGGTGCCCTTCTCCACTCCAAGTACTACTAAAATGCTGGGCTTATAGGCCTAATTAGGAAAGAATACCTGTCCATTTTCTAAGCTGTCTCTCCTGCCTGTTCCATCAAGGGACGCTGTGATCTGTGGTGTACTAGCACTGTGGTGTCCCCACTCATCCTCTTTGGATGGCTTTATGGGTTTGGGGTTTTTTTGAAAATGCTTGGGTGGCTGGAGAAATCTTTTTGGAGAGTTTCTGAAGAAGAAAGTGGGCTCCAAGGTAATGCCATTTCATGATCACACTTGTAGATCACTGTTGTCACAGTGCCGTATGTGTGATCAATCAGATGAGGGGAATAAAAAATCCATCTTTTATGTAGAAGTAATTCAGTAGCAATGGAGAAACATCATCATGTGAAGGCTTATCTAGCAACAGTCAGTCAGATCTGTAATAGTTGCATCTTAAAATCAAGTATAATTACAGATTGGGAAGGAAAAACATTAAATCTTAGACTTGACGTTTGCTTGCTCTGATGGATTTTATGTGAAAGTATGAGCATCTGAGTGGAAAGACAATGAACTATTTGGTATCTTGGTGATAAGCTATGAAGAGATAAAATACATCCTTTGAGATAACTTTTTTCCTGTGCTCAGGAGCTTGGATTCTACTGTACTTATTTCTGAAGCCTTTCCTGCTTTGACTACCCCATACTGAATTCTGCTTGCTGTTATTAGTGTGTCACATATATGGAAATAGTGAGCCAAATACTGAGGCAAACTCAACCTCAGTATTTTTCCCAATGCCAGGGAAATATCTAAATGCTGAAAAGGTAAAGCTGAAAGCCTTTGAAGGAGAGGGTGTCAGGCTCATGGATATTCTGTGTTTCTGCAGGAAATAAAGGAGAAATACTTCCCTTGCACTCTCAAGCATCTTAAAATTCTTAGAATCCAGGTCAGTGAGCATATACTGATGAATCAGTGAGCATGAAGTCAGAGTTCATGAAGTAAGATAGTTTTCAGTTTATTAACGTAAGTGACACAGATCTGGATGAAAAAGATGTACTTAATAGAAAGAATGGCAGAAAAATTCCTTACACTTCTGTACCTTCTTTGGATAAACACTTCTCTCTGCTGAAATTCAAGAGTAAGAGTCATGAAACATCGTATAAGTGATGAAGTATCCTCATTAGCATGGGAAAACAAGATTTGTTTTGATACTTAGATCAAGATTTTAAATCCAGTTTTAAGATCCTAAATAAAGCAAAATACTAAAAAGAAATAAAAAAGATTTCTGCCTCACCAGGACCCTGGGATGTGGCTAGATTGCATTAAAGCTCTAGTAGCAAGTAAAAATAAATGTAACAATGAATGATGAATGTTTTGTTGGTTTTTTTTAATCACAGTGTTCTGCTACCCTTACATACTGAGAGACCTTTATTGGCTTTTGACAAGAAATTGGTACACATCTAGGAGGGGTTTCCAAATACAGTTGACTACACAGTTTTGCTTGAAAAATCCGCATTTGCATAGCAGTTGCTGGGGAAATGTATCTCAGTGTGTTTTAGTTTTACTGGTATGTTTTCCAGCATATTTGAGACACAAAAGAGAGACTGTAGTTTTTAGATTTTGAACAGTGATAGGTGAACTCCAGAGCATGCAGGGAATGGAAGAGAGGTATCTTTCTGAATGAGGGGGGTGGCTTTAGGACTGGTGAACTACCAGCAATGAAGATAGAAGAGACAGCCCAAAGTGAAAAATAGAATCATAGAGTGATTTGGGTTGGAAGGGACCTTAAAGCTCATCTAGTTCCAACCCCCTGCCATGGGAAGGGACACCTTCCACTAGACCAGGTTGCTCCAAGCCCCATCCAGCCTGGTCTTGAACACTGCCAGGGATGGGGCAGCCACAGCTTCCCTGGGCAACCTGTGCCAGGGCCTCAGCACCCTCACGGGGAAGAACTTCTGCCTAAGATCTCGTCTCAATCTCCCCTCCGTCAGGTTAAAGCCATTCCCCTTGTCCTATCCCTATGGACCCTTGTCAAAAGCCCCTCTCCAAGATTTTTGTTATCAGCTTTAGGCACTGGCGGCTGCTCTGAGGTCTCCCCTTAAGGAGCCTTCTCTTCCCCAGGCTGAACCAGCCCAGCTCTCTCAGCCTGTCTCCAGAGCAGAGCTGCTCCAGCCCTTGCAGCATCTCTGTGGCCTCCTCTGGACTCACTCCAACAGCTCCACGTCCCTCTTGTGTTGTTGCCCCAGAGCTGGATCAGGACTGCAGGGGGGGTCTCCCCAGAGCACAGCAGAGGGGGAGAATCCCCTCCCTCGACCTGCTGCTCACACTCTGGGGGTGCAGCCCAGCACATTGGGGGGGTTCTGGGGTGCAAACACACACTGCTGGGTCATGTTGAAAGAGGAGAGGGGAGGGTTAAAATGGCTTTGAGGGAGGAAAGGAAAGAGAGAAATAATAAAAGAAGTATATGTATCCTGTAGTAGGGGTGGAAGGGCATTGGCAAAATGAAATTAAGAAAGAAGTTGAAATATAAGTTCTTAAAATGGAAATTCAAATCCTTGAATTTTCGGTGGAAATGTAGAAATTGAGGGAATGGTGTTTGTAGGGCTTTCCTATCTTTTGGATGTTAATGATATCAGAAACATCATGTATAGAAAACAATGCATGGATTTGTTTACCTGCAGTCACTATGAGAAAGGAAGCACTGAAATTATTCTGGGAGGCTTGAAAGTCAGCTCAGGAGAATGAGGGACTGAAAAAGGCAAGGTATGGTTTCCAGATGCTGAGAGGTACTGAGCAAAGGATTTGCCACCTCTTCTGCGGCCACAGAAGGGCAGCAGGAAGGACCTCTTGCTGTCTGGACATCTGGAGCTTGCAGGAGTGCTGCGGCTGCACACAGGGAAAGCAGGCTGAGAGAATGCAGACATCTGGGTAGAACAAGGTTGCAGGCATGCTCTTTGGGGTGAGTTCAGTGGAGAAAAAGAAGACTTGGTTCAAGATAAAGATGAGGGAGATTATTTTTGTTCCTCTTAATCTTTCCAGGTCCTTTCATTTCTGTTCTTGTTCTTTGTTTTGTATTTCTCAGCTTTGTTTTGTGTGTGTGTATTTTATTTTGTTACTGATCTAGCCAGAAGTTTCTGGATTCCTGTCACATCAGGGGTACAGATCAAAAGTTCTATAGCCCTGTGGCTATATCTGCTAATTTAAAACTGCTTAATTAAATACAAAGCATAGTCTGGGCTTGCAGTCCTTCACTACGTAAATTGTGGTAAATGTCTTTCATATCTAAAGAAAGCTAATGCTTCTGAGAGAACTTGGTTTTAGCTTGTTTTTACCTCTTAAAGCTGAGTAGGGTTTCCTGCAATTCTTGTCTGAATATATAGGTTTGTTCTGCGGTTTATTCACCCTTAGAAACCTCAAAGACATGGACTCTAGGGGTCTGTAAAAGGTAATTGAGCAGGGAAAATCTGCTGCTTAGTAGGCTTTACATACAGTGCCTTGCAGCTTCGCTCAAAGTTTTACAAATTAAGTAGTTGAAAACTACTGATCTGAATAACATGCATTTGCTTAGGCTTGGTTACTGAGTAAGAACTTATATGTAAAATCTGTGGAGAGAATAATGAACTAAGCATGAAAAGTGTCCATCACTGCAAGTTCCTCAGGAGGCAGAATGACCAAGAAGATCCAATGTCACAGGTAACACAAAATAATTGAAGTCTGAGGATGTAGTTCACTGTCCTAAAGCAATCATAGTAACCCATTAATACTCACCAAGTGTGGTAAAAAGTAATTTTATGGGTAGGAACCTCTAACGCATGAATATTCCCCCAAAGTTTCCTAAATCTTACTAGAAGCTTGTGTTTCTTCCTGTACCCCTCCCCCCACTGTCATTTTTCTCAGCTCAGACTGCATAATCCTACCTTGCCTTGCTCCTCAGTAATGGACTTGCCAGCTGTTTCCGTCACTGTGTTACGACACAGTTGCAAGGCTGGGTTTTGAAACTCGTGTCACACTGTCACCTGGAGAAGGAATTATAGCAATATGATCCAGTTGAAGTGACTTTGAAGGGTCGTTTTTACTGATGCAGAAGATGGCTGATAGCACATCAGAATTTCTCACAAGCGATGTGTTGACACCCTTGCTACAAAACCGTCACTGACTTAGTATTTGTTTACAATCTTCTTTGGTCCCTGCATTTCCTACAGAGACTCTTGTTTTTTTTTCTCATTTTTATCAAATTATCATCCCAAGCTGAAGGAAGATGAGGGGGTGGAAGCAAAACATGTTCAGTGCTGTGACATCTGGAATTGTTGGTTGGGCATATACTGTATTTGATCTCGGCTATTATTCATATACTCTAAGCTCTCAATTACCAGGGTTAATAGCAGGGTGGAATAACTCAGATAAAGCAAACACCTGGATAATATAAACCACGTAATTTATGCTGTGAGAAAAACTTCAGCATATGTGATTCCGAAAGAATAATAAATACACTCCACACTTGTAATGAAGCTATTAGTTGTTTTTAAATACCAATGGAGAGCAGAGTTGCTGTGAACAGAATATGCTCTAAGTGCTCTGAAGCCATCTGAAGGGATGAAACACTAGACATAGTAAATCCACTACCTTGAAGCTCACATATGGATGATAAAGGGTTGACAGAAACAGTCAAGAGCATCCTTTTTGGTTTCGGGAAGAGATGGAAAGGCATGGTTCTTACCCAGCTGTGTTTAAGAGATCGCAGGCTTGAGTCATGGCAAATTGAAATGCAGCAGCAAATGGGGAAGCTGCAGTTCAGGTAGGTCCTAGATGCAGATGTGCTTTTGGAAGAGTGGGCAGGGTTTGTGGTTGGTCATAGGGATTGGGAGCCAAGCAGAAATCATTTCTACTTAATTTTTGCCAGCATCAGCAGTTACGGTTGAAGATAACAAAAAGAACTGTTGTGTCGTTGCTTATAGTATTGTGTACCTTTGAAAGTGCTGCTGCTTTTGCCTCCAAGGTTTTTATTTTACTGGTCAACTTTAGTTGAACACTAGAGCAGAATGATTATGACTGGGTACAGTTCTGACTCAGCTGTACTTCCAAACTCATTGAACTTCTTGAGGGCATTCCGCTGAATCAAAGTTTATAGATAGCTACTTTATATATCTTGATATAGATATCAGTATAGATATTGATATAGATATAGCCTGTGGAAAATACTCCTAATTTGACCCATTACTTAGGAACAAATTTGCTAGCAGGCTCAAACACCTGCATGCAACATAAATATGTAACATTAGTCTCTTTCATGTTTCTGAAAGTTTTAGTGCTGGTTATGTTTTTAATACAGCAATAATGCAGCTGTGTATGCCAAACAGAAAAGTTTGAGCATGTGGGTGCTCCCCCAGAGAGTCTGAAATTGAATGCACCGAAACAAAGTTTGTGAAAAGTCAATAAAGCAGTATTAAATCATACCCAGCAAATCATTCTGTTTAGTCTAAGACAATAAAGAGTGCCCTAGATTTGTGCAAAGGGCAGTCAGCAGTATGATTAACCTAGACAATCGTGGCTTGGTTTGTCAGAAGCATTTAGTGAGGATCTTGCACTTCACATTGCGGTCCTGACTACCACATATGTATGTCTGAGACTGAAATAATTTTCACGCCTTTCATGAAGGCCTGAGATCCATGGTTTACTCAGGAATCTTATACAAATATTAATGTTGATTCTAAACTAACATAACTTTTGGGCTGGTCTCATCGAGTTCTGTTAGTGAGTGTCAAAAAGTCAAGTAATTATAGTCATAGTTATTTCATATTAAAAGTAAAATCAAATAGTTTGAATATACCCTATTTTAATTTTCCTAAACAGCCTGTTTAAATTTGTAGCAGTAGTGGAAAATAATAATGTATATTTTGATGTGCTGGTTTGATGATTAACTGTGTTAAAAATCTGTTCCACTCTTAATGCAGTAATTCTTAGTCCTATCCCTGCCCCATATCCTACAGTGATCGTAACAGAACACTAACAAAACCACATACTTTTTCAATTTCATCGGAGACTGAAGAAGGGGTGCTTCCTTAACCATTTAGTGGATCAGGGTAAGATAACAGCAGAGCTGGATTTTATTCTGAGCTTTGTCACAGTCGTTGTAGGAAACTAGGAAGTGAGTCATAATTTCTCCAAGCAGTAAATTAAAAGAAATCATTGGTGTTGTGTTCTTTTATTTATTTGAATAAATTTTAATTTCTCACTTGATTTTCTTATTTTACATAACTAGTGAGTTCTCTAATGTGAGACTGTTAGGTCTGTGCCTGAATTTAAAATATATGAAATTCCTCCCCTCAGCAATTTCAAACAGTTGTCAAGTGAAACTGAATATATGACAATTAATGGGACAACAATGAAAAATCTTGAAATTATACAGAATCAGGTAAGAACAAATGTAGTGTTATTTTTAAAAAATGCTGAAATTTTCATGAATGTTTGACATACTGTTCCCAAGGAAGTTTGTTAAGTTAGTTTGCAGATCTCACCGAAAAGGTTTAAATTATTTTAAATGGGATCAGACTGAAGGAGGATTACATTTTCAGAAGCATAAATGAAAGTTAATGTGTGCTGGCTTTTAGTATGAATTAGGAACTTTATTGCACTTTGACTAGCAAAGAGCTTTCCTAAAGTTTGAGTTCTTGAGCCAACTGCAATCAAGAGATATGACTGCATTAGAGTTTTTTTTCCCTTTTGTGCTGCTGCACAGACCTCTATGCTCAGACATGATTTAACTTATTCCAGTCATCTTCTGGAAGGACTTTCTGGCTAAAGGAAAGAAATACTTGAGTATCTTATGACTATTAGAGGTATTTCATGTAGAGCATTATCAGTGAACAAGATCGGTAGACAAATGTGCAGTTGCCATATCTAAAAGTCTAAACAGAATGTTTAAGTAGTGTGGTGAATTTCTATGATTCCTTCACTAGAATCAGAGAATCATAGACTGGTTTGAACAAGTGTTCAAGGCCAGGTTGGTCAGGGCTTGGAGCAACCTGGTCTAGTGGAAGGTGTCCCTGCCCATGTCAGGGGGATGGAACTAGATGAGCTTTAAGGTCCCTTCCAAGCCAAACCAGTCTGTGATTCTACATCATTGGTTTTTCAGTTAAAAACAATAATGCTATTTTTTTATTTTTAGACTGATATGAAAACAAAAGGAAGCCTACTCTGGGTCTTGGATCATACTAAAACTTCCTTTGGGCGTCGAAGATTGAAGAAATGGGTAACCCAGCCCCTCATGAAATGCAGGTGAGATAGTTCTTTATCTTGGCCTAAATCTGTATTTTATAATTATGGTGCTGAGTATGCCCAATGTATTTATTTTTCATGAAGGCCTGAGATCGATAATTTACTCAGGAAATAATAGACGATGTTGACATTATAATATGTAGGTTAGAAAGCTTTAAGCAGCTCCGTTTGGGCACAGAACATCTAAGTAGCTCAGAGTGGTAGGTGTTTGGAGCAAGATAGAAATTCCTGTGCAGAAATCACATTGGATACAAATTCTAGTTCCTTATAATTTTTAAGACTGTGAGTGAATATTACCTTCTATTGGAGGATGTCTTATTCGTGAATTTGTCAATTAATGTTTGATGTCTTTCTTGCATCGTAAGCATTTACATCCTTAATACATTTAACTTATTCTAAAGTAACTACGGAAGTTTGTTATCCCTGTATACACTGTATTGCATATGAAAGCATTTCTTTTCATTAGTTCTAAAATGATGTGATGGGTTGGTCATGTTCGTATTTTGAGCTATACTTTATTTATTAATGCTTTATTTTGTAATACAGTCATGCTTGTTTTTACTTGTCTGACTTGAAATGGACTCCATCTTCCCTGATTTCTCTTTGCAGGTTTTATTGGAGTGTTGTGCTTGAATATGTAATAAATAACAGTATTGAGTCCATGGACTATTTGTTGCCTACATTTTAAGATTTTGGATCTGTTCCTTTGAATGTGTATTCCCTCAGCATTGTCATTGTGGAATCTATTTAGTTGTCACTTTGTTCACTTCAGCTATGGCATACTGAAAATTCTTCTTGTTTGGCTACCTTAAATAGTTTTTCCCACTGTTTTACTTTTGTAAATGTATTAAACAGTTTTAAATTTTTATTATTTTTAACAGTTTTAAATAGTGAGATGTACCAATATTTTAGCTGTTGTTGGTAGTTTACAAATGTTTTTCGAGAAGCATTTTTATTTTTCTTGACCAAATACAAAGCGATTTATGTTAAAGCACTATACTTCTGAAGAATCACTGCTTAATTTTCTTATTAGCCTTTTTGTGAGGATCTTTTCCTAGTAGTGTAAGAAAAGTGCCTAACTACTTTTCCCTCCTATTTTGTTAATTTGGAATTCTAGAGAGCTTTTTCATTTGCAGGAACCTACTGGTTAGACTGTTAAATGCTGCAGTTTCTGACAGGGATTTAATACATTTATTCCAGTATGCTTTTTTTTTTTTTTTAAAAATCTTTCTGATAATAGCTTTTATATATCTTATCCAGTTCAAAAAGGCTTTTGATGTAACCATCCTAAATACTATTAGACTTTATGGAAGTTAATTATGTGCCTGGCCTTCACCTTGAAAGCATATATATGTAGATTTTCCGGGCCAGTTTACAGGAATAAACTGAAATAAATTGGTTTATTTCTTTTCCTACCCTTGAGGGTACCTTGTGGCCTTTGGGGAATTGTTTGTAAAGTTGTCAGCGGGGGGAGCCAGAGCGCAGGCTTTCGTCTGGCGTGGTGGCAGCACTGAGGATGGGGACCTGAAAAGGTGTGCCTCCATCCGTTTTGCTCCCAGATGATCACATACTGGGTGCAACAGCTGAAATACCATTCAACAGTCAAATAGACAAAATTCCTATCTGCACACAGAGGGTAGAAAACTGCTTGCATGGAGACTTCAACCCTTCCTTCTTAACCAGTAAATTTAGTTCAGATTCTCCCATGTCTCAGTGCAGAACCAGTTTTACAAGTTTGCAGGTTTGGTTTCTTGTCTTTCTCCACTGCTCTTCGCTACTTCTGGAGATTGATAAAGTTTCCCTTTTTTATCCTTCTTAGTATAAAAGAAAGTTAGAGGGTTGGAGATGATAGGAGTCCTCAGCTGAACCTAAAATGCTATTTTGTTTCTGTGTATTTCTCCAATTCTGGTTCCTGAGTTGTAATTTCATGTACTTAGTGCATCAGGCATTCGGCAGTATTGTTCCAATAATGCACACAAGTGCACTTAGAGAACATTGTAATTGTAATTCACCTGTGCCTCCTGGAGTGACATTTCAGAGGAAGTAAGATCTCTGTACTGCATCTTTTGCAGTCAGTGGGTAGGTGCAGTTCTCTTGGTGTATCAAAAATGAGAGGGTGTGATTATTGCTTTATGCCTGGTAGTTGAAAACCACTTGGGATGATAACTGAATTTTCAGTGGAGAAACCATACAGTAGGTTGAATAAAGGTAGAATGTGTACAGGCAGCTCATCTGGACAAACTTGGAGATAGCTATTAGATCATCAGTGATGTAATACATTCAGAGAATTACAATAAAAGGTTTTAAGCATTAGACATTTGCAATTTTGAGGTAAAAAAAAAGGCTTAACCAAGAAAGGTGCAATGTCCTTGCTTATTTGATACAAAGATGATGAGATAAGAATGTATGAGTCATCGAGGACTGAGCTTTTTAGGAGGAATCAGGAAATTCATTGTTTTTTGTAGGAGTTAACATACTAATCTTGTCTTTGAAATATAAGTTGCATCCAGTGCCTTTCTTGCCTAACTTCTGTGAGGGGAGCAGGAAGAAAAGGAAATAGAAAGCTGAGTTGGTTGGAATATATTTGACTGAATGAAATTTGCTGTTTCCCAATGGAATTGCAGCAGGAGAAGGAGTAAAGCTGTGTATTATCATACTCAACAGCAAAAGGGCTCAAGACTGGTATCGTGATACAGTGTTGTAACACAAGGTGATCTTTGTGTGTGTGCATGTGTGCAACATCTAAAAATAATTTCATTCTTTCCTAATGCAAAATTAATCTCAGAACCTCTGAAGCGGATGTGAAGCAGTGATTGCTTTTTCAGTAGCTACAGGAAGAGGAAAAAGATAAGCTTAATGTAGGCCTGGTTAAGCAAATCTGGATCTGGTTTGCATCTTGTTTGGTGGTTGTATGTTATGGATGTGTTGTCCTATGGTGGTGGTATAAAAGAAAGTGCAAGAAAGATGTTGCCCTGCACATGAACAATCTTAAACCTCATCTCTGCAGAATGTGTTTTCCCTTGTCTCTCTGTTGTCTCCATGGCTAATCCCTCCCACCCTCATCTTACATCTCCGTTTCCTGTTCACTGAGCAGCTCCACACTATAGCAATGCTGCTTGCCCACTCTGGAGCCTAAACAGAGTAGGCAACCTTGGAACAAATATTGCATCCTGTGTCTCATTCAGTTTCAGGGTCTGTGCCTTGCTCAGCTGTTGATTCTTGTACAATATGTAGGAAAATTGTTTCCTTAAGACTAATAAACACCGTCCTTGACCTTGGCTAAATTAAAATGTTCAAAACTGGAAAAGGGAGGCAAATAGCACAATTATTATTTGGCAGATGAAGTTTCAAAGCCACTGTCCATCATATTTGAAAAGTCATGGCAGTCAGGTGAAGATCCTAACAACAGGAAAAAGAGAAATATAACTCCCATTTTTCAAGACAGGCAAAGAGGAATACCTGTGAAACTACAGACCAGTCAGTCTCACCTCTGTGCCTGGCAGGATCTTGGAGCAAATTCTCCTGGAAAGCATGCTAAGGCACGTGAAAATCAATGAGGTGGTTGGTGACAGCCAACATGGCTTTACTAAGGGGAAATCCTGTCTGACCAATTTGGTGACCTTCTATGATGGGGCTACAGAACTAATGGACGGGGCAGAGCAGCTGACAGTTTCTACCTGGACTTGTGCAAAGCGTTCAACACTGTCCCACACAACATCCTTGTCTCTAAACTGGAGGGACATAAATTTGATGGATGGACCACTGAGTCGATAAAGAATTGGCTGGATGGCCACAGACAAAGGGTTGTGGTCAAGGGCTTAATATCCAGTTGGAGATGGGTAACGAGTCGTGTCCCTCAGGTTGGTGTTGGGACTGATCCTGTTCAACATCTTTGTTGGTGACATGGACAGTGGGATTGATGCGCCCTCAGCAAGTTTGCCAATGACACCAAGCTGTGTGGTCTGGTTGACACCCTGGAGGGAAGGGATGTCATCCAGAGGGACCTCGATATGCTTGAGAGGTCGCCAGTGCCAACCTCATGGGAGTTCAACAAAGCAAGTGCAAGGTCCTGCACCTGGACAATCTCAGGCACAGCTACAGATTGGGTGGAGAAATTATTCAGAGCAGTCCTGTGGAGAAGGACTTGGGGGTGTTGGTTGATGAGCAGCTTAACATGAGCCAGCTTCAGTGTGCACTTGCAGCCCAGAAACCAACCGTATCCTGGG